GCCAGTAAATATCTTTGTGCCAGTGTTTCCTGTGACGCTCGGCTCTGGTCACAGCTGTAAACAGTATCGATTGTAGCAGCTCAAACCCTTGGCCAGAGTTTGAACCTTTGCACCTTCTAAATCTCTCCTCAGTCAAAATCCGTGCTACACTTCATCTGCCAGAAATGCAGGACAAACATGATAAAGCGGCATCTCTACGTTAAGACACGGCCTAACAAATAACCTGTGCCGACACTCCTTTAAACTATACTACATCTTTTACCTGATATTGGCATAAATAGCGTACAATGGAACTAAAACTAAAAACTGTCCCCACAAAGCTGTTCATCTTGGGAAGTTATGGTCCCATCCTTCATATCGGACACGTGTTCTGCAGAGAGAAAGCTTCTAATCTTAAAAAGGAAAGGGTGAGGAGGGAGGTGAATGCAATAAATAAAATACATATTATGAATATTTATATATATTTATATATGTATAAATAATATAGTACAGACGATGAGTTCTGTCTTGGCTTGACTGTGTTCAGAGAGTAAAACGACAACATACAAAACGAAGCCTGGTCCAGGTTACCTCAACATGGGGTGGAGAGAGCTAACTTTATCACTCATCTGGTTTCGTACTGGGACTCAAAATTCACTTTGCCTACCAAATAGAGACCCAACATATCAAGCAAGACTACATCTTATCGAGTTATTCCTCTTTGTGAGGTCTCAGCACCTCTGGGCCTCGTGTGTCGGTACGTACATTCTCACTGGAGAACGAGACGATGACGAGAAGAACTATCTTAACAACTAGTTGAAACACAGAGGAGGGAGCTGGGGGGTGACCTGGGTCCGAGACCACTAAGACAGACCCAGGTGTGTACTGGAGGCATTGATCTGGTCCTGTGGCTTCTCTAAGAGGCAGGCGTTTATACAAGCGGTGGACGGAACAATGGCGTTTTACAGCCAGATTTAAACCAGCAGGATGACTGTGGGTGTTGGGGTGCATTTGTGCGTTTTGTAAGAGAGAAGGTGCACATGTAGGCGTGCATGTGTACGTTCAGAGGATGGACGTATTGTACAGATGCATGTTGATAGTTCAGCTTCAGTTTCTGTGTATAATTTCTCATGTTCAGACCAGGGATATCTGAGAAATAAGTACTGTCTGAACTGGGTGTTCAACATTAGCGGCTTTTTGAGACGTTTAAATAAATTTTTTAGACATGATAGCTCAAATTGTATTAATTTTGTGTTTACTTCTCCTGTGATGCTTGTGTATGGGGGGCAAAAAGTCTTTTTAGGCCAGTGAGGGTCATGAGGGCCTTGGTTTAGACACGGGTGAGGAACGCCAGGTTGAGGGAGCTGGGGATCTGGATGGTTTCCAGGGCGAGGGAGGAAGGGCTGAAAGGGAAAGTGACGGGATAAATCATCTTCGTGTCCATCAACAACTGGGGACTCTCACAGCGGTCTCGCAAGCGAGTCTAAAGGGAGAAAGCAGAGAGCAAATGAGATGATTAATATGCAGTTACATTTCATTTGCAGAAAAAAGGGCCAATTTCCATTTTGGAAGACAGTTTTCCAACAGCCAGGCAGGCTTTGTTATTCATTTATGTTACAATGTGCAATGTGTTTGATTCATTTGGATGCAATAAGCTCTTGTTTCTGAAGAAAAATGGTGCAGCCCATATGTTGCTTTGAGCTTGGTAAAAAGGATGGAAACCAGTACATTACAGTACACACAAGGTTTAGGAAAATGGTGGTTAGAGTACAGGGTCCACCAATTTGTTAGCAATTAGTTTTTCAGGAGCATTCATGTCCTTAATGTTTATGCTGCAGATATATAAAATAGTAAGTACAGAAAACAGTGTTATATTTCAACATCTGGAATAAATTACCTGTATGGTTCGTATGAATGAGACTGACACTCTCTCCTCAAACTCGTTGACTGGAGTGTAGAGGTTCAGGACCTTCACGATCTGAGAGAGACATAACACAGAAATGTTATTCCAACAGCACCTTACCTACAGTGGGTTGGTTTTCTTTGCTTTTCGACAGACTACGGTGGAGAACAAATGGTTTAAAAAGCTAGTCTGGATTATTGGAATGTGGCGGTTTACCTGAGCAGTGGTCAGGGCCAGGCACATGGAGCAGATGGCCTCAGCGTCCTCATCAGTCTTTTTCTTCACCTGCAGCAGCTGAGCCGCCTGGATCAGAGGCTCCAGAGTCTCCTTGGCTCCGCATGTCATCAGACCTTTGTCTCTGAGCCACTCCTCCAGCTGGCTCACATTGTACCTGTGCACACACATCATAGGTTAATACAAAAAAGAGCTACAGCAAGCAAACCAGTCACGCTATGGAGCTCCTCCCTGAGCTGTGACATCTCCTACCTGATCTGCATGCCTTTGCTCCAGGAGCACATGTCCTTGCGCAGCAGCAGGTTGTTGAGGGTGACGGCTCCGATAATGTAGAACTGTTGCTTCACCACCTGCTTGATGAGCTCGGGGTCGGTGCCGTGCTGGCACATGGTGGAGTGGAAGGCGCTGAGCTGCCGCAGGATGGAGTCCAGGGTGTAGGTGCCCTCGTCGGCAATGCTAGAAGTTCGCTTACGGAGACCCGTTGGCTTCACCCCCGACACGCCCTGGATGGTCTCGTGCTCCAGCATGCCAGAGACTGCAGGGAACACACACCAATTAGTAAGTACTTGTATAGTGCACATAAGCAAATACATGTCCATATGCAAAAAACAATACAATAAACGTGTGTACATGCACACACCTATCATGGGCTGGAGGATGTTCTCCATGCATTTGATCAGCTGCTGGTAGATCTGGATGGAGAGGTCACTCAGCACCTGTCTGTACTCTGCCAGGTCGAAGTTGGACAGACAGTGTTCATTCTGCCTCTGCGTGTTGTGCTTCATGAAGGCCTGAGACACACAGACGAGGGCAGATTCAATTAAAACACTGTTCCATTACAATCTATTTTATATAAATGTCTGATTTTCTACTTTGTCACAATGTCCAGTTAAATCAAAAGGCTCCAAGTCTAATGAACCTTATTTATTAATGTGTACATATTTTGAGAGAGACAGTTTCTATATTTGTGTGTCAGTCTCACCTCGTCTCCGCTGTATTGTTTCAGACAGTGTAAGAAGCGGCAGGTGTTCGCCAGCCAGAAGGAAACTGTCTCAAAGTCATCTCCTCGTTTCTGACGGGAAGAGGAAGAACAAACAGGAGTCAGTAAACCAGCTGGTAGTAGTCATACTGTAACTCTATCAGACCAGCTACAGTTTAAAATACCCTGCCACAATTACTGAAAAACACCGCTTACAAAAAAACACACTTCCCTTTCCCCAAGTCACATATGACCAACCTACGCACATTTAAGTCCAAACTACTATACTCTGTAAACGTCGCCCCAAACTCTTACCATCCTTTCTTTGTAAGATTAATCGACCAGCACACAGTATACATACCTTCAAGATCTTCTTAATACTGTTGATGGTTGAGGTGAGCAGAGTGCGGACCTTCTGGTCATCGTTGACATAGTCTGCGTGTCTCAGACACATGAACAGAATGTAGGCTGGCAGACCTGGGATCAGATTCACGGCTACACCACGAGGCTTCAGCTCTGGAGAGACAAGAGGGGAAACAAGTTCAGTGATGGACTGAGGAAAAACATGAGAAGATAAGTGTCTGTTGTCATACAAAGCCTCACGTTCCACAGATAGGAGACCTTGTGGAGTTTTTGATTTTTTTTTATCCCTCAGTTATCTTAAAAAGTATTTTGAGGTTTGTCAAACTGCAATCATAGAACACTTTAAGGTCCTTAAATAATCTCAGTTTATAGATGTTTGATTTTTGCCTATATCTCCTGTTTTATGATTAGTGCTTACCCAGGATGAGGTTCTTGACCAGTTTGAGCTCATCCTCCTTCTTGTACTCCAGCATCCCTTGGAAATCTTTCTCCCTGCGGGGAATGTTCACAGGGTGAATCGGCTCATCCACCATCTGTCCCGGAGACGTCTGGCCCTCGGTTTGACCCGCTGGGAGACACGCAAGACATGACCGTCAGGTGACATACTGAACTGCAGAACTCAAACTCACATATATACAGATTCTCAAGCCTTTGCCGGCTGATGATTTCTCCTGTACCTCCCATCTCTCCAATCCTCTTGGAGTAAACCTTCAGCTGCTTCTTGAGCTTGCGGATGGTTCGGTCCTGCTTCTCCAGCTGCTCCATTAGATCCTGAGGTTGGAGTGATAAAGAGAAGGACAGACAAAAAGAAAAAGAAAAGAGAGAGAATAGTGAGGACAAATGCAAAGTCTACGACAGCTTCACTCTGTCACCCCCCAGTGGTGAAAAGGAACACTTTCGTAAATCTCACTCAGCGGTGACTTGGAAAATGTGAGTCTTTGAAACAAAGAAAGAAAGAAACAAAGGGGGGTTGGGGGGATTTTAAATCAACATGAAAGCTGCTCAGCTGATTGTTTTCACAGGAAGAGAAGTTACGGGACCTCGTTGGCTGTGTTAGAAAAGAGAAAAAGGTGCCGAGCTGTTCCGCTGTGAGTTAGAATACGCTGCTGTGGAGAGTTAAAGCAACGTTCAGTGCGATTTCATTCAGAACACACAACCTCAGTTAGTTCGAACACATGCAAACACACATTGCATGCACACACACACTCCATCTCTACATACAACCATCCGTCGTAAAATGATGACTCGAGCCTCTCGGGACGCTGTGGGGTCTTCAGCCAAAAGTTCCTGTCAGGTGAAACCATCCACACAAATGAGTGTGTGTGAGACGCAGCACTACAGGGGCCGTTTCAGTTTTTGTATTTGTGGCTCAGGTGGGAATGAAACCCCCAGTCCAAACTGCTTCAGTGATAATTCATTAACATGTATCTGTAGATCAGATTCCTCTGGTAATTTTTCCTTTTATTTTCAAAACAATATCAATGCATTTCTGAATTTGAGTGACATAAACTAAATTATGTTTCTGTGCTGTTTATCACTTAAAAAGCATCTAAATGTGTGTGTTGTTGTCATTGATGTAGAGCAGATTCTGGTTTGAAGGCACCAGACAGATGCATTACCATTCTTTGGCAGCAACACAGCACTTCCCTTAAACTGGAAATCAGTCAGTTTTGTATGATACATATTTTTCTTACAAGCCATCTGTATGAAGGACTATGATAAACACTTATCCTGCCATATCTGCACTGCTGGAGCTGGTCCCCAAAGCCTGTTGGGTGTCATCTGTCATTTGAATGTAATATGTATGTTTAGCTGAGTAAAAAAATCCAACTTAGGCTTCAAACCCATCTTTTTTCTCTGTTATGGTCACTCCTAAATCCACTTGCTACGTATACACTCTGCTTATTTCTACTTTGATCCCTAATTCTGTTATCATTGTTACATGTACCTTTCTTAACCTCAATCTCATTGTAATATGACCATTCTTACCTGAATGTATAGGATTCTGTCTGTGTATTTGTGCATGTGAGATCTCACTGTTGTGTGTCTGATGTTTAAGTTGAAGTTCTTCTTCAGTCTGTATATATCTGCGTGTGTGTTACAGCGTACCAGGTTCTCGTTGGTGAGCCGGGTGATCTCGTGCTGCAGACTGGCTTCGATTCGGGCCTCTGGAGGTAGCTGGAGGTTTTGGGCCAAGAGCTGCTGCTGACGGTTGTTCTCCTCCTTCACGTTCTGCAGCTCGCTGCGCAGTGATTCCACTTCGTTATCGTAAGTTCTCCGCTGAGTCTGCAACTGGTGCTCCAGTAACCTGAGGTGGGGTGGGACGTGGGAAGGAGATGAGATGGAGGAGGGAGGATGAAATGGGAGATGAAGGGAAAAGGAAGAGAAAGGGCATAAATAGGAGGGGAGGAAAAGAAGTAAGCATTATAGTGAAAAAAAACAAAACAGTAAAATAGAGTGACAAAAGTTAAAGTTTTCACCACAGTGTGGTGACGCAGCACAGCAGCATGCTGTGCATCCCTGAACCCAGCTTCTCTGAACACTTGCTTTAATTGTGAGTCATTAAGTTTTCTTGAAAAGTCGAACAGAGCCAACACTGTGGTCAGAGGTCAGACTCAGCGACGGAGCAGGTAGAGCTGACAGAGCTTCCTTGCTTCAGAGGGAGGTTGACCTGCTTCTAATACATGGATCTCCTCACACTAGTTTGCTAACTTCACACTCAGTCAGGTGACAATTTAGTTTATCAACGTTCAGTAAGACTCCCACCTATTAATAATACCATAGCAGCAAAAAACGTAATTTGAGATGAGTGACATTGGAAAGGAAAAAAATTAACTAAAAGTATAAAATGAGGCATCAAAGCCAAATAGTGTTTGTGAACAATTCTTAGGGTTTGTTTAAAATATCAGGAAAAATTCACTTTCCTCACTGTGTTTGGCCTACTTTGAAGCCAGCTTGTCAGTGCATATTGAGTTACATGAAGCTCTAACATTGAACAGGCCGTTAGTAACAGGATGAAGACAAATTCTATGCACTATGTTAGAAATAAAATGGGAAAATAAACCAAAAACCTTGCTTAAAAGACTATATATTATGCAACATATGTGGGGTATGGACCTGTTTTTACATCATTTTTATACAGCATGCAACCCTGTAAAGTGGTGTGTGGGAAGAGTGTGTGACAAAAACAACTGGGAAAATCTTAACATTGTGTTGTGCCAAAAATATAAATAGTGCCCAAATAGACTACATTATGTGCTCAACTCACGACACAAAACCAAACTTATTTACTGTCAGCTACCCAGGAGGGGCCCTTCTAATGAGCCCTGGGGCCTAAAACTGAGCAACTGGCCAGATATACCTCACAATAAACAAAGATTGAATCTCTGAAAGGTTAAAACAAATGTGAGAGGAAAGATGTGAATGAAAAAACCCCCCAGCACACATCCTTTCTTGTGAAAAGGCAACGTATCATGCTCAAATAGCACACTTCAGTTACACCTGATGGTTTCCTTTAAGCCCTGATTAACCAGCCACAGCTCTCCGTCCTCATTCAGCTTATGGAAGTCTGGAGCGGCAGATCTGACCGACACACAACACAAAGGAACATGAACAACACAATGATCAAAAGAAAAGTGAAGCGTGGTTGGGTTGGGGGAAAGGTATGCAAAGACAACAAGAATATATCTTTGTCTGAGCTGTCTGTATGTGTATGTGTCCATGTAAAATACACTGTCCTTTATTTGTGGACTGCAGTAAATTTCATGTGTTCTGAAAGTCATTGTGGAGGAAAATCTGGAAATGCTTCCATCTACCTTTAGGTGGCTCTTAATTTCTTTGGTTTAACCATAAAGCTTCTCCCTAAAAGTGGAAGCTTTAGTAGTAGCCAGATATAGTATATGTTTTCTGTTTCATTGCATTGCTGCTTGCAACAGTGGTAAAGTCTATTGTCTGTGTGTAGCCTGCTGTGTACTAAATATTCTCCACTGTGCACTCTCATGGCAGCGTGTGAACAAAGAAGGTCACAAGCAACAAAGGGTGTCACATGGGAGAAACAGAGGGATAAAGGCAGTGATGCACAGTGCAACTTTCTGGGCAACTCTGAGGAGTAACAATGCAACACTGTTACTTTAATTATATAGGAAAAAATGTTGCTTAGAAACATAAAATGTCTGCAGTTAGCAAATCTATTGTGTGTACAATATCAAGTGTGTTCCCCTTGACATGATGATGATGATGCATGTGTGCAGCATTCTGTAGCCAGCGAGATGAGCAAAACTGTCTACAGAAAGAAAGAAATGTAAAAAAGTGAGATAATGAACTGTGGAGAACATGATAAATATATGATATAAATATGAATGTATTCAAATTCAATTATTTAAAAGTATCCTGTGCATCTCTGCTTTGACAAACAAAGAAACAAGTGGGTTTTCATGCAGGATTTATGCCAAACTCATTCCATAAAGCTGAGACGGGAGGCCTCCTACCACAGCGTCACACTCATCACTGCTGAACAGTCAGTGTGAGGGAGTCATGTTCTAAATCTGTGTTAATAAAGGTTAAACTACAGCTGGAGATAACATATATATACACACCTTTTTAGCCATTTCCATGCTTTCATGCTGCACATTTTATAAATACTGCACTGTTAATATGGAGTCCTGCACCGTCTCCAAAAACAGAGCAGAGCTGCGGAAGCTACTAAAAACATCTGTGTATCTTTGTTTTGAGGGACAACAAACTATTTTGAGTCAGCTTCAGTTTAAGAGACTCTGCTCTTGTTCATGCTGAACTATTAAAACCCATGCAGACCTATGAATCCCAAAACTGAACTTCAAAGCCAAACACACATTCCTTGACTTCGAATACTGGTTATCATAGTCTGTCATAAGAAAGACCTAAACTGTAGCTGAGAGCTGCTACATTATTTCACATGCTGTTAAGGCAGAAAACGCAAAGCTTTCCAAGCTTTCATCAGCACTATGATGTAGAATCAAGTGTTTCAGCTTCAGTAATATCAGTCATTTGTAACATTTTCAACCCGGTTTGGCATCAGCGTGGCCATGCATGCTTTGTTCCATGATGCATAGGCCACGTCTCATTGGTTACCTCAGCCTACTCAGGAGATCACTGACTTCCAGCGGCTTACGCATGAACCTAGGAGATCTGCACAGGACAAGGCAGTGTTCACAAACATACATTCTTACATGTATATGATGGTAAATATAATGGAACAAGAGCTCGGTAAAATACAACATTTGGACAAAAGATAGATGATGGAGTCAGGGCTTGGGGTGAATTCCACACCGATGTGAAGACCTGGAGACTGGGCGGGAGAACTGGCCGTAACATAGTACCTGTTGGTGTCTTTCAGGCCTATGCAAGCTTGCTTGAGTTCGTCAGCATCCTTCAGTTTGGACACATCCTCAGCATAGACAGATGGCTCAGTCATGGTCTCCTAGAAAAAGGTAGACAAAAAACAGAACGATAAATGAACCAGATCACCACCATAACTGTGGAAAGTTTCATACAGTTTAGGTGTATGAATGAAGACAAGCAAGTCAGTGGTTATATGAATGTGAGTGCACCCTGCTGTGAGCAGTCAGCATGTGTTTTGTTGACTCCCTGCCAGCATCAGTGAAGCTGCTGGCTACAACTGTCCTTTTACCCTGACAATCAACAGCCAGTTGGAGCCTCGGGCTGAAACAGTGACATTCCATCAAATGATGCCTCGGCGACAGCCGTCTATCTATGGGGAACGTCACTTCACAGCGGCAGCCTTTTCTTCTAGCTTTCAGGAGATAAGAAGTGCTTTTGTAGAGTCTGACAGTGCTGAGAGCTGAGCATCAGCTGATTAGTAAGCAGGGTTTGAGGTCACTTGTGATCAAAGAGTTTGAGCAGGGTTCATGTGACCGCTGTGTGATACGAAGACGAGGCTCACTTTATTAGCATGATGTGACACTGGGAGCTGTGGAGCTACAGTATCATGCAGCAGACAACCTGTCACACAGTTTACTTCTTTATTTCTTTGAATTAAAGTTTATTTCTTTAATTCAACATCTATGTTTACTATAAGTAAACATGTAAGTCACCACTGCCCAGCGCTGTGAAGTCAGACCCTTTGGAGCCGAAGCACCATTAAAGAAACATTCAGAGATATCAAACAGCTTTGAATATAATGTTAATAATATTATTTTCAAATGTGCATTTCTGAAATCGAGTGCAGTCAACTGTTTTTAATTTATTTTTTTAAAGAGTAAAAACAGGTTACTGTCATGTGAAATCTACAGGCTGAGATTTCAAATTTAACTCAGTTTGCAGTAACATCCATCCTTGGGGGCTGAATGTGGTACAGTGTTCACGAGGACAGATGCAAAATGGCTGCTGTAAAACAACCACTGAGCATCACTTAGCGAAAAACAGTCCATAAAAGCATTCATCCAGACAAAGGACGAGACAGGTGAGACGATCAAAATACAGCCTGGAGAGGACAGAGTGCATATGTAAAGTCTCTTATAGAAAGAATGCTGACCTTGTGTTTTCTCTCTATAATACTGGGTTCTACAGTTGTACATAATTTGGTCCCCTGTTGTGGTTTCTGTGTAAATTCCACCACTAGATGTCTCACACTGTTACGTATCATTAATTGAATGTTCAAAGCGTTCCAGGAGTCTTTGTTGACCCTGCTCTCTTTACTTCAGTCCTCAAACTTACTCAGCAGTTTCTCAGAAATCAGGAGTTGACTTGTTTCATTAAGCATGTGGAGGTGGAACAGGGAATATTGGTGGTGACAGAGGGAGATAAGCGAGTAGAAGGACTCTTAAAATCAATATATGCCCATACTACAGAACTGAAGAGAGTACCCTATATTTAAGTTAAGTCCTCTATTAAACTCTCTGGAACCTGATAGCAGCAGTGATGTAACAGCTGCACTTGTCCTGCTGCTTACAATCACTGAGATGACAGATAAAATTGACTCTGCTGGATCAAATTTCTTACGTAAGGAGGTTTTACATACAAGACACAATGAAAAAAAGTGTCAAATACTCATGCATGATGGTTTTTTTTTAACTGTACCTTCTCATCCTGTGGGAAAGCATGGATGGAGGAGAGAAGGTGGAGACAGGAGAGTTAGACACACTGAGGGTACAGTGAAAACATCAGCTACATACAGTGTGAATAAGGTGATTTAATTAGGATATGGACCCAAAATTAACAACTAACTACAGTAGAGCAATTGGCAAAGTTCAAATGTCATTTTTGTCTTTAAGAAAATGATTTTAGTCCTTTTTTGAGATCATGAACAGAATATAAGCGTTATTTATTAAATATTAAAAAATAAATAATGATCTGCGAATAGGATCAAAGCAAATGTAATAGGCCAAGAGAGATTTTAGTCTGATCCCTTTGTTACTTTTTGGCATATTGTGCAAACAAATAGACAAACAGAGAAACAGATATGGGTGAGAATAACACACATGTAAGAAGGTGGATACAAGCAAGCGGGGCTGCCACCCACTTATATCCAGCTTCATTTTGTAAGAACAGCACCACCATGTGACCACAGTGCAGGTGTTTACAGGCTAAATAGACACAGGAAGTTAAACGTTCTTCTACCTTGTGGTGCATGGCTTCCTTCTGGCTGACCAGCTGGGAGCGCAGGATCAGCACCTCCTCCTTACGGACGTCCAGCTCCTCACAGGAGGCGTTGAGCTGCTCCAGGAGCACCTTGTAAGCTGGGGTGCCTGGGGCCCCGGCCCCGGCGCCTGCAGCTGCGTCACCCAGCAGGCTTTGCCTCATCTCTGCCAGGTTATGTTTCAGCTTCTTGTTCTCTGACTCCAACTCTTGACGCTGAGAAGTGAAAGAGTTAAGTGTTAACTTGTCCATAACAAGTGGCAAATGAAGCTTTCTGCAGCTCTGGCATTATGTACTGCAATAAAACAAGTTGTCTGGCTTTGGATTAAGTCAGAGAACATGTGCTAGTGTTGTTGTATTTCTAATTTAGTCCCCTCTGACTGCGTACCTTCAGGGACTCGTACTCCAGCTCCGCACCACGAGCCTTTTTGAACTCTGCGTCATCCTGAAACAAGAAGCAAAACATGGTGATGAAGGTGTGTTTGTGACCGGACAAAGTTTATAATACATGATGCAATACAGTCTGACTGAAATGAAACATGGCTGAAACAGAACACTGTTTGATAAGAAAAAAATAGTTTTTTTTAGCTTTAATCTAATTGTATCTAAAGAAATCTGTTTTCCTATTTAATAACCGTATAAACTAATGAAGCACTTAAATTCTGTACATAATAATGAAAAGCTTCTTATTATATTTAAAGAGTCATTAATGCAATAAAAGTTGTTGTTTGTACTTTTGCTGGGTTGTTACATGGTTACATGTGTATATTATTGTATTCAAAAGCTCTTCATGCTGTACTATCCTAGTATTACTGTATATTTTCAATCCTCAACACGGCAAAACGAGGCTTATAACATATATACATATAATTTCTTAATGAAGTGATATATTTCAGAGCCCAGCGTTAGTGTCAGTACCCTGGCCCTAGCCCGCTGGAACTGCTCCTCTTTGTTTTCCAGTTCGTTGCGCAGCGATTGCTTTTCTTGCTCCAGTTCTGTGAGACGTTTTTGCAGCTTGAGGGTCAGCGAGGTGTCCATTCCTCGTGTAACATCCTGCATGACAAAGACATTTAACGTCAGCAATCATTTTGTAACAGTAGAAACCATATCTCTGGATTGGTCCTCTTATTAAATGTGAATGTACTCAATGCCAACATTCTTACTTCGGCGGCACGGGAACCTTCTTCCAATTCGGCGTACTCTGAGTTGTAGGTGTACTCTGATTCGTTGCTGCTGTGGGTAGAATCTGTTCTCCTGTGGCCAGGCTTGGAGACGTTCTGCAGACAAGAGAGAAAATAACCTTTTAATTTCCCTGCTGCGCCTTCAGACTGTAAGTGTATCTCAGTGTTTAATGTTACCAATGTCACTTCCCATCTGCTTTCTGCTAGAGAAATACTGAATAATGGAAAAAATAAATGTTTTGTGTTCGTGTTTTCAGAAAAGGATGAGAAGCGCTTATAAATACATTAAACCTTTTATAAGTAGTATTGACTGGGTGTGTGTGCATGAATTCCTCACCGATGAAACCATCTCTTCCTTCAGGTCGTCGTATTTTTCTTCCAGGCGAAGGTGTTCGGTCAGGAGATTCTGATAGCGAGATCGCTCCTCGTTCAGATCTGACTCCAGCTGCTGAGTCTCCTGTGCAATCGAACGCACCATTTTCTCTGACAGGGAAAGAACATAAAGAAGCAGCAGTTAAAATAAAGAAACACACTGCATTGTTTAGGAGACAATTGCATGCGTATGCATGACTATATAGATGTGTTGCAATAAGTCAGTTTAATTTATGTAGTTATGTTTGCATACCTGTCATCTGCTGACTCTGTTCCTGAATCAACCTGTTCAAGTCGTCCTTCTCTTTCTTCAGCGAGCCATTCTGCTCCTTCAGCTCTGAGACCATCTACAAACACAAATGATACCTAAATCACGGCTTGTGTAAAGCTGCTGACTGTCAGCATCTTGAATGTGAATGAATGTTTATTTACACATTTAATCCCATCATTCTCAAAAGATGCTCAAAATAAGTTATCTTCTTTTGGAAAAAAAACATTCTGGGTTACAAAAGAAGACAAAACACTAGACAAAAACACACACAATTAGAAATAGAAACCACAGAGTACACACACAGTTCAGTAGCTACCTCACTAGCACTCTATTGTATCTCCTGCGCTCACCTGCCTCAGGGCAACACTGCCCTCTGAGCCCACCATGTGCCCATTTCCCCCTGGTTCGCTCTGGCTCCTAAATTGGGGAAAAACTGTTTTCCTCTGGTGCCAATATGCATATTTATGCAATGAAAATTATTTTGTGATATATATATATGTCCAGGAAACTATGGGAGATTGTTCTCATTAGGAACTTTTTCTACTGAACTTCGTTTTAAACTAATAATAGGACTTTGACAGCCTCACTATAAAAGGAAAGGGGGGGGGAGGGGGGGAGTCAGAGGAGGTTTTAAGGAGAGTAAATACAACCCAGTTGTTTTTTTAATTCTAGCACTGCAAAAAGTAGGAAGACTTTTCCTTCAAAACCTCCAAGTTATTCACTAGAAAAAGGTTTAAGGTTCCATAGATGTTAGTACATCCAACATCTATGGAAATATCTCCAATCTACAGGCAATAAAGGGGAAGAAGAGATAAACACACATACTGTAGAACAGGAGACAGACGGAGGGACATGTAACTACTGTACATACACTGTGCACAGGGAGATGGAGGACAACTACAGGTAAATGGACAGATATAAATCTGGATCCCCGTCTTACCATCTCCATTTCGTTCCTGTAGGTTTGCGCCCAGTCCTCTATGGTCTTCTTCTCCTGCTGTGTGGCACTCAGCTCCTTTCTCAGCCTCTCCAGCTCCTCCAGCAGTGAGGTCACCTGGTTGGTTTTCTTCTTGGCCTCCTCCTCCACGCCACGTAGCCGGTTCAACTCGCCACGCATCCGCTCACTTTCTGCTGTGTAGGAATTCTCTAGACCAACTAGCTTCTCGTTGACAGACCGGTTTTCCTTGGTCTGGAGGAGCGAGATGGATCATAGAACAGGGAGGTCATGGCAAAAATGATCAATCGAAACAAAAGGACATAGAAAGTAAAATTGGGGGAAAAAAGGGCAACTCACCTGCTCGTCGATTCTCCTCTGCAGCTGCATGATCTTGTTCTCCATGCCTTTGTTGAGCTTCTTGAAGTGCTCCACTGAGCGAGCCTCGATCTTCAGCTTCTTTAATTCGCGTCTGGCCCTCATCCTGCGGATGCTGCACTGCAGGACGACGATGGAGACGAGGCAGCGCTTGTACCAGCAGCGAGCCAACCAGCCGCGAACGTGCCTCTGAATGATCACCGCCTTGTGCTCCCGCAGCAGCTACAGACACAGTGAACGAGAGGCAGAGAGAAATAAGAGCGCATGTGCATATTTCTAGAACATTTACACTTGTTCTAGGTGAAGTTTCTCTTGTTACAGGTATTTTGTGGAAGTGAGACAGATAACAAAAAATCTTGAAATCAGTTAACTTTTGATTGGAAATCTAATGATGATTTCTTCTTGTTTTAAAAAACATTTCAGGACTTAATAATAAAAGAAGGACCGGATGAATGAGGATGAATATATTTTGCAGTGTTTTGTGATGTGTGTCTTACCGCCTGGTACTTCTGCCGAGCCATGTAAGCTCTGAGGATGGTCTGCATCGCCAGGGCAGCAGCCTGCTTCTGCCTGTAGCGTTTCTTCTCCATGTACATCCTCTGATACTTCTGGATGACGGTGGCCGCCTGGGTGCGACGCATGAACTTGGCCAGGCTAAGGAGAGCCAAGATACACACGTCTCAACTAACAAATATTGAACTAACTTCTTAAATGAATGTTGATTTTAAATTATTGAACTGCAGCAGTAATCAAACTACAGTAAATTAGTTCACCCAGCAGTGCCTTATAACATAGTTGGTTTAAAGGATGGTGTGCATGATACTGTTATACTGTTTGAATGGACAAAGGGAGGTGAATATCAGGTTCAATGACTGACCAGCGAGCCTGGTATCCTCTGGTGAACCTCTGGATGGTGATGGCAGCACTGCGCTTGCGCAGATACTTCTTGCGCGCCAGCCAGCAGCGGATGGTCTTCTGGATGCGAATGCAGGCAGCGCGCAACTTGTCCGCCCTCAACTTCTCAAGGTAGGCAACCTGGCCGGCCCTGAAGAAGATCTTGGTCTTACCAAACTGGTATTTATCCTGGTCCTGAAGGAGGATGGGAGCAGAACAATACTTTTAGAAGAACACAAAGAAGCAGATGTGTGGAACCTTCATTACTGTTTTTTTTCCATGAAAGGGGCAAAACTGGACTCAAATGATAATGCAAAACTAAATATAAATCCATTAAAAATTTACTGTATATGCCATCAGCAAATAAAATCATTCCATATACCGAATTTTTAAATTTTAAGAAGAAATGTGAAAATTCAGATCGTCTGACTGACCTGAACTAGTTTCTCCAGAACGTTCTTGCAGGTCAACTTCTTGTCAGGTAACACGTCCTTCTGCTTCATCAGCACTCGGTAACGGCTAAAGAACTCCTGGTACGTCCATCTGAGACACACACAAGATTGTCATGATATAAACATTTGATTCTTTACCGCTTGTTCAATCATTTCTTGCAAGGAGTTAAACAGTTTGCTTTGCTATTTTACTTTTCTTCAAGGAAAAACAAACTACCACAAAAGAATGCATTTTTGGGTTGTTGAAGTAGTAAGATTCATTCTGATATCTGCTTCTATAGATGATATTCAAAAATGTTGTATATTCCACCTGTGAAATGCAGCACCTTTTTTTAAGGTTGTGCTCACATTCAAAGGTTATCAGCTTTAAAATCTATTATTATCAATCTATCTAAAATGCATTAAGGAGACTAGTAAGTAAAGCAGACTAAAATCCAGTGCAGGAGGCCATCAGATCAGATCAACAGTTGGCTGGCTGCATTGTTACAAGGATGTATTCAGACATAATGTATGTACAGCAGACTCTCAACTGCAGAGTACATTTGCCTTCTAGTAACTTTTAAAATTTCTTACACATATCAAACACAAGAGAGTGTATGGGAATCAGTAGCTGTGTTGCTGGGATGCATCAGTACCTGGATGGGAAACCTGCAGCGGAGATGCGGATAGTTTCCAGGACACCACAGGCTCTGAGCTGCTGCACTGCCCGTTTGGGATCAAACCTGCCAACCACAAATAACCACAGTCAATATGGCCACTGTAAATGACACCTGAGCTAAGATGGTGGTTTTGAGCACAGTGCATTGTTTATTAATGGCAACAAGTCTAAAGTCAGGAAACAAATATGGTAGAAAAGAGAAAACAAGGCACATAGCACTGTGCCAGAAAATGTTTCTTTTTACTGTTTACTTGAAAACATGAGGAAGACTCACGTGAAGGCCATCTTGAAGTCATTGGGTTTGATGCAGCGTACATAGTGTGGAGTGGTTGCGTTTAAAGTCTCCATCAGCATTTGCAGAGAGTTACGGAACTACAAGAGAGGACCATCATCATCATCATCTAACCTTTTGTGCTATTAAGCCACTGTCACAATTAATTCTCTATAGAATTAT